CTATAAAGCCTGTATGTATACATGTAATTGTGAATTTAAAAACCTGCAAATAAGGGCAGTAAACAAGGTAAGCATACAAAGCTGGATATACTATAGACATTATTTACTCAAGCTACAAATCCCAATTTTAGCTCTACCAAATGTAATTATAGCTAACAGCATGGAATCAAAATAGGGATTTGTAACTCGAGTAAATAATGTCTAAAGTACCTCCAGCTTTGTATGCTTACCTTGTTTACAATCCCTATTTGCAGGTTTTGATATTCTCAATTTTTTTCTTTATTTATCTTGTCTCTCGAACCTTAAGCTTGTTTGTTTACTTTTTTGCGACTGCACTTTCACTTTAAGCTAGCAATCTTTTTCCTGTATTTTTGTGAAGATCCCTATTCCCCCTTTTTAAATTATTATTTTTTAATAATCTTATAATGGAAGGATTTTCTTACACGATACATATATAATTCTGGGTAAGTTTTCATAATAAGTCACTAGACTCTTACAATTATAATAACTATTTTACAGTAAAAGACCATAACCTACAGATTTTCTCATTGCACGTAGACTTTCCAACGTAAAAAAGACATTGGTTAGGCTTACATGTAACTGTCTCATTTAGAATTCCGTATGATAATTTGTGAAGGTGAAGGTTAGGACAGAAACTAACCTGCGTGTATATAATGGAACATATACTTACTACTGTTGCAGTAAACGTTTGTGTCAAGTTTCGTGACTTTTTTTTAAAAACTCAAACAGTAGAGTACTGGAGTAACTGTTATATATGTAAACATGTCACGTCTTTCAGCTACTTTCCTATTGGTTCTAAAGAGTCTTTTGAATGGAAAACAAATATACTGTAAAAATAATTTCAGTATTAACAGTTGTTAAAATTCTAGTGATTAAGTTTATCGTGGTGGAATGAGTGTGCCAAATTAGACCATAGCTGCCTACATGGTTTTGTTAATTAAAATATGATTATATTATATACACATTATATATATACACATAAACGGGAACGGCATTTCGCAGTACAAACAAGTCCCAAGTTTGTAGCCAATGTGTGTAATTGCTTTTAACGAACACAGAAAACATTTCATGAATATTGTATAATATGTCTGTGGAGTTTGAAAACACAGAATCGATTTCATTCCTGCCCTTTGTTCACACCACCTATCGCTATTGTCTATAATTTCAATACTCTTTATAATGCAACTAAAAAACCGATATCTCAGTCTTATCAATTCCTTTAATAATTTTTAATGGTTCAATTAGATCACCCTTGACCATTTTCTTTTCTAGAGAGAGCAAGTTAAGAGAATCCAAACTATCACAATATTATAACTCGTCTATCCCTAGAATAATCCTAGTAGCCCTCCTTTGAACCCTATAGTAGCCCTATAGTAGCCCTCCTTTGAACCCTCTTCAGCAACTCAATGTCTTTCCTACAATAAAGGGATCAAAACTACACATAATATGACTTGAACAATGAAACCGTGGCATCTTTAGCCTTGTACACAATATTCCCATGTTCTATCCACATCAATGAATCGATAAGAGCTGACAGTGTTTAATAACATTTAATTAAGATTGGAAAGATGGCACACAAAACAAAAACCATGATCGCGGAATTGTGGTTAAGTGAAGGAATTTCGTATCGTTAAAGCTTGTTTGACTGTATAACAAACATATATTCTACTTATAGTAATTAAGAATTTAAACCAAGAAGTTTCGTTGTTTTGTATAAGGTTTTTGCCAGTCTTTGTAAGAAGTGTTGTGTTTGGTCTCAACTCCGTTGAGAGAATGATCTTAGATTCTACTGAAATATCACATGCTATATTACTTGATATATCAATGATGTGAAAGTAAAAAGTACAAGCTAGAGGTGTAGGAGGCATATTAGAAATGTGTATGTGTGTGTGTGTGTGGGGGGATCTGACCGAGAGAAGCGAGGGAATGTGCGTCACAAGCGCACCATTACGGCAGGGGTCCAGGGCTCGCATTAGGGCTCTACATTAAATTTTATGCATTTTCCTGCTTTTCCCCGAGAGTAATTTTCCTAATTTTGATTTATTTTTTACCGGGACAGATTGAAAAATGGGGAGCTGGTCCCCCCTCTTCTTACCTTCTTCTGGTGCAAGCTTCGTGGAGATTAAAGTATTATACTACGTCCCATAAATATTCTTTTGTAGCCAGAGTTTACATTTCATGTTTCAATGTTAGAAACGTTTTCATCAGTATAGAAAGCATTTAATTATCATTAAATACTAAAATGTGCCACTTGAAATAGATAGTTTAGTCGCCTCACAAAAAACGAAGTACCATGTTTACTACCGTACTGGACCGTGTAGAAGGGAATTTCATTGATTTCCTACTTCTACATATTCTTTTGGTTGTTTACTGTATCTACCCTACAAGTTTTTAAGTCTACCTAAATAACGAACTGGATATTAATTAATGTTAGCCAACTGATGATTTTGATGAATTCTGATCTGAATAGGTTTTAGTTTTCTTTTGTACCGATGTGAGATATTATGTACTACGCGTCTGTTTCATAGGATTGATTTCATTAATTTAAAGATTAATTTATAGTTTGATTTATACTATAGATAGCTTACTTTTTGATTATAAAAGTTTTTATCATTGTATTTAAACTTGCATATTTTTACTCAAAATACGACCACCACAATTTGGAGATTGTACTTTCAATACATTTTTCTTATAAACACAGGATTATATAGTCTTTTTTACTTTGATATATATAATTTTTTACAGTCGAACTACTGATCATAAACCTAAATTCAGCAATATCACAAGAGGATTCAAATGACACGTGAACATAAAGTCGTAACTATATGAGCCAAGCGTGTCGGACTATGGATCCGTGGTTTGCGTTCCTTTACCACTTCCTCCCCCTAACAGAAAAAAAAAAAAAAATGGCGTTTCGCACTTTGTGGCCGTCGGTGTTTTATAAAAGCGACAGTCAAATCCCACTATTCAGTTAGAGAAGCTGACTTTCCTTAAATCCATCACTTCAAAATCAGGGTTGGCTAGCAGTAACACAGATAGCTCTCGAGTAGCTTTGCACGAAATCCTATAAACAACTATATTTCATACACACGAAAACAGCGCGACATGTCGTTCTTTAACTCTTAAACTTAAAGTTATTATTTTTTAAATTAAAAACTTTTCCGTTCTTTTTATTATTCTAACCTTCAAAAGTAAGTAACAAAAACTTATAAAAGAGTTATATTTTAACGATCTTTAATTAACAATATTCTAAATTATACAGTAATAAATTAAGTTTGAACGGTGGAACAGTTTATCCAGCTGAGAAAATGAAGAAAAGAAAAAAAGATTACATTTTTGCAATCCCTGCTTTTCGGACAGCCGATGATACCGCCTTGCATGCTGTGAGTATCGAATTTAATAAAGCAGTCAGGTCACCCGTTGCCCCTGGGAATTTTTTTTGCTCTGCCAAGACGTAACGAATTAAGGTCATAGCATTTGTATCAATCGCTTGACCAGACATTTTAATGATTGTTTCTAACTTAAACTAAAATTAGCAAGACTAAACTGAATGTTGTAATGCAAACTAACAAACTCGGCGCTACAACTAACGAAGCAAGTTACAACCCGTATTTCAACCTTGAGTTTGTCCCTTGTCCTAAAGGTCTCACTATCTTCAACGATTTTTTATTTGTTTCACGTGTAACAGTGACAAGCCTCTGGCAAAATCCTGCCATCTAGTGTATGAAAAGTAGTAATATTTTGTTGTAGATATCGTAAACTTGGTTTTAGGACCTCAGGTGTTTTACGGAACTTCCAATCAAAAGAAGAGGAGTCCTGCTATAGCTTTAGAAACTCACGACTAAGCAGATTTTTTATTATCAAAACCTTTGAGTTGCAAAATAAAATAATGAGTGTTTTTTACAGTTTACAGAGGTTTGTATGTTAACAGAGTGTTGAACTCTCGCCCCGAAACTCATGTACAGATTTACAACATAATTTAATGGATAATAATACTGAATAAAGTTCTACACTTTATTTTTTGTACATTTGAAGGTATTGCGAACACATAATTCCACACAACGATAAGAAATCAAACGTCGTAAGTCAGTTAGAAGAAAATAAGTTAAATTACAAATCCATCGTTGAACACAACTTTTGGCCCCCCAGTGGCACAGCGGTATGTCTGCGGACTTACAACGCTAGAATCCGGGTTTCGATACCCGTGGTGGGCAGAGCACAGATAGCCCTTGTGTAGCTTTGTGCTTAATTACAAACAAAACACAACTTTTCATTAGCGATCTATGACATAATTGAAGCATAGTTGATTCGTCATGATACAAAGTTTAAAGTTTTTAGTCCAATTGACTCCCGAAAATATTTAAAATGACTTAGTTCATCTCATATTCAGAGGGTTATAGGCTCATATGCACGAGGTGAACCATGCATGTATTGGATCCACAACTAGAAGGCTTTGCAGTAGAATAAAAGAACACTGTAACACTAAAACTCACAACACCAGTAGTACTTACTAATCCCTGTCTAAACAAATGTGATGTTATATATATACCTTCAGTTTCTTCCAAATTATATTCCATTCCCGAGAAATATTCCAACTTAAAATACTATAATTTCCTGCAATTCAAGGTAAGAAAATCAGCTCTTATTGTTTGTTTGTTTGTTGTGAATTTCGCACAAAGCTACACGAGGGCTATCTGCGCTAGCCTTATCTAATGTAGCAGTGAAAGACTAGAGGGAAGGCAGCTAGTCATCACGACCCACCGCCAACTCTTGGGCTACTCTTTTACCAACGAATAGTGGGATTGACCGTCACATTATAACGCCCCCACGGCTGAAAGGGCGAGCATGTCTGGTAAGACGGGGATTCGAACCCGCAACTCTTAGATTGCGAGTCGAGCGCCCTAACCACCTGGCCATTCCAGGCCAAATCACTTAAGGCCACCATTTGAGAATAAACTGAATACTGTTGTCAAACTGAAAAATATCCCCGCCCTCCGGATGTGCTACTTGGAACACCACGAACTGTGCGTACTCACGCAATATCACGCACTAAACTGTTCATAAAGAAGAAAATAGTTAAACCATCTGTTTATAGGTTGTACGCGAGTATATGTGTGACTGCAACATCTAACCTGTTTTGGAAAAGGTAAAGTAATGGGAAATTAGACAATACTAGTCTGTTGGATGGCATATTGATAATAAACTGTGATAACAATGTACTTGCACGGAGGCACTCTTTCAAGTTTTATTGGACAACAGTATGGACGATACTAGTCTGTTGGATGACATATTGATAATAAACTGTGATAACAATGTACTTGCATGGAGGCACTCTTTCAAGTTTTATTGGACAACAGTGTGGACGATACTAGTCTGTTGGATGACATATTGATAATAAACTGTGATAACAATGTACTTACATGGAGACACTCTTTCAACTTTTATTGGACAACAGTATGGACGATACTAGTCTGTTGGATGAAATATTGATAATAAACTGTGATAACAATGTACTTGCATGGAGACACTCTTTCAAGTTTTAGTGGACAACAGTGCGGTCCCATCTTTACCACTAGAGTTTCAGTTTTCATCTTCTTGTTATCGACCAACGATCGAATATGTAATGGCAGTGTGCTCATCTTCTGGTTAAGAGGTGTTAACTCTTCATTAAAATATTCCATTAAAATGCAATTTTAAATTTAATATTTGTTTGAATGACGATTTTCTTTCCAGTTCAGGTTAATATATATTCTAATGTGTCTTGTGAAACATCTTGTTGGTCACACACCATTAAGCTTTGCATGCTCCGAAACAATCAGATTTGACCATCTGATTTCGACCTCTCCTGGTACAGTATAATCCTGATACACCACTGAATACAAATGTAATAGCATCAAATTTTATTGGCTTACTACCATATATATATATTTTAATATCGCTTTTACTACATTGACAGCAGACAATTTGCATCATGTAGACAAGGTTTCCTGACCATAATGAACAGAAAATTTGTTTATCTGTTTGTTTGATGTTAAGCACAAAGCTACACTATGGGCTATCTGTGCTGTGACCGCCACAGGGATCGAAACCTAGATTTTAGCGCTACAAACCTTCAGAATTACTACTGATCAACTGGGAGTCAGAACAGAAAATTAGTAAGAAGGACTTGGTATCAATCAACATCGCATATCGAGTTAATGCTTGGAAGAATACACACTTGGATTAAAATATTTACAGTTTAAAGAATCAACTGTTAATTAACACTTGTTTAGATTTTTAAACAGACCCAAGGTTAACTACTGTAAACATACCAAGCTACTTTTGCACATTTTCTAATGTTGTGTACATTTGTCAGATTGTACTTACGAGTGTTATATTAAAAAATATCAACAAACTAATCACCTGGTATATACTGAAGACCTTACAAAAACAGCTTAGATTTATGGATTCCATTAGTGATTAATAACTAGCATGCTCCTTCTTTAAATGTTATTTTCTGTAAAATGCACATGATTTAAATGTATTGATGCTTTGCCCATGTGTGACAAAGTGGATTATTGATATTGAGTTGTCTTTTTAAGTTTTTCTTTTTTTCATTTATGATTAAAAGCAACATATGCAATGTTTTTAGTGCTTTCAAATTTTGCTAAAATGTATGTCAAATAACTGCAAGTTCTGAGGATACAGGCGAGATTTGTTTTATTTTTATTAGTGCAAATGTGGCGCCACCTGGTAGAAAGATATGAAACTTGATATGACAATACTTTATACTTTTATGGTACGCTAGAATCCGGGTATCGATACCCGTGGTGGGCAGAGCACAGATAGCCCTTGTGTAGCTTTGTGCATAATTAAAAACAAACAAACAAACAAACAAACTTTTATGGTTATTGATATGTGCTGATAAAGTTGTGCATATTGACGTGATATTACATATTCCATTGACTTACATTTTATATATCTATTATAGTAACAAGAGGGAATCGTATATATAGCCACAGCACTTGAAATTCTTTTATGCAGGATTAGGGTAAATTAATCAATGAGATTCTTTTTTTTGTTCCTTTTTATTAGCTATATTTATGTGCGCCAGCAATACCAAGCGTGGGGCGCTCGTATACCCGATTCGATTTTATTACTCATCAGGATCTCTATCAGCCTACCCTCAAATTGAAATTCGTTTAGGCAGGATTAGTGTAAATTAATCTATGATATCTTGGACGTGGCCAAATACATCAATCGAAAAGGTTTGACCTGCTGAGTCCAAAACTGTAATTAGAGCTGAAATCGGTCAACATATAACGGAGCTATGAGCTAAAAGTTTGTACTTGTGAAAAAAACAAAAACAAACTCAAAGCCATTCTATGAGCCGCTATGTCGCAGCTAACAAAATGCTCTAATTTGTGCTAATGTGCTATTTCAGAACCTGATGTTTTTTTTTTCTGTTCTGGCCCGTGTTTCAGATCTAAGTGGGAGTTAATCTTTAAAGATCGGTATCGATGGGACTTCTTCTTCAATAAATCCGGTATATATTAAAAGTGAAATTAACCCAATGTGTTATCGTCTATTGCAGTACATCTTCTTTCAATAAATCCGGTATATATTAAGAGTGAAATTAACCCAATGTGTTATCGTCTATTGCAGCACATCTTCTTTCAATAAATCCGGTATATATTAAGAGTGAAATTAACCCAATGTGTTATCGTCTATTGCAGTACATTTTCTTT